AACAAAAACCCGGATAGACCAAACCCTAGGACAAATGGTAAAAGCAAAGCTATATAGACAAAATCACACACAGAAGTATACACATACACACTAACCAAAAGAGAAAAAGGGGAAAAAATATATATATTGTTGCTCCCAAAGTCCACATCCTCAATTTGGGATGATTCATTGTCTATTCAGGTATCCCACAGATGCAGGGTACATCAAGTTGATTGTGGACAAGGATGAGAATTCTTGCTGAATGGTTATTATTCCATTATAGTCATAGTCTTCTGCTATCTCTTCATATAAGTCCTGAATATTTCTTATCAAGGGTATTGTCAGACATTTTATGATTCAGGATGGAATTGTTGTGCAATCATTAAAAAAAACCCTATTTTCTAACTGGTTATTGCTAGTGTCTTGGTTTTTTTTAATAAAAATTTCTTCCACTTCTGTATCCAACCATTTTCTAATTTTTTAGTATATTATATATAATATATATATATAAACTAATATATATTATATAATATACATATATAAACGAATATAGTAGTTTTTCAGTTGATCCTCTGGAAAGTTCTGGATATCAAATTATAAAAGTTAAAAATTATAATAATTTTATATCTTCCTAATAGCTATAATGCTTATTTCTGTTTCATATTTTATTGCTTGACTGGACCCTTCAAAACAATATTAAATTTTAATGGTGGCTGGAGGCATCTTTGCTTTTTTCCAGGAATGGTAATGCCTCTAATGTTTCATCATTAAGTGTTATTCCAGTTCAAGATAAATAGAAATATATTTTTTTAATAAGACAAATTGAATTTTATCAAAACCTTTTTTAGCATTTACTGAGACGAGTTTTAAAAAACTATTTGATCTACTAATACATTACTTAATAGCCAAAGAGTTTTTAACTAGAAACCAGCCTATAAATGAAGACTCAAAGGGAGCTTAAAGGAAAGGTCTGGGATGGAGATGTAAATCTGTATGTTATCAGTATACAGATGGCATTTCATACCATATGACCAGAGGGGATCTCCTAAGTAGTGGGTGCATGTATCAAAGAAAAGTCAGAGGACTGAGCCCTGAAGCACTCCAAGTTTTTAGAACTCATGAAGATGAAGAGAAGTGAGGAGTGGCCAGTAGATATGAAGAAAACCAAGACAGTGTGGTGTCCCAGAAGCCAAGTGAGCAACGGGTTTCAATGATGAAGGTGATCAGTTCTGGCAGTGCTGCTAATGTCAAGATGAGTACTGAGAGACGACACTGGATTTTGCAAATTGAAAGTTACTGGTGACCTTGATAAGAGCAGTTTCAGCTGATCAGAGGCAAAACTTCTGATTGGAGTGAGTCCAAGAGAGAATAAGACAATCATGCTTGTGCTGGGCAAATCCAGCCCATTTCTATGCCTAGATGAGTAATGTCCCAGAACCTCAGTAAATCAAGGCTCTCTTCTCCAGATGAAAAAACTTTAGAAGCAAACTTAAGAAACTTAAGTGGAAAGAAATAGAGGCTGAGTTTGGGATCTGACGGCAAAATGCCTGGATCCCAATTCCAGATCTATCCCTCCCCACCTCTATAGCCTTGAGAAAGACATTCAGAATCCCTGAATCTCAGTTTTTCATCTATAAAATGAGGTGATACTGTTTTCAAAGGGTAGTGGTGAGGTTTCAATTTTTTGAAATGCACTTAAACCCCTACACCAATACTGACTCTTCTCACTTTTTTAGGTCTCCTGGACATTTTCTTTCCTGTTCTTTGTCTTGTGGCCAAGCTTTAAGATGGTAAAATTCATATTTACTTAAAACATAAACCACTCGTTTTGAATATAGTTTCCTATGAATCCTAAAGGGCTTCAAAAGGCCACTATGTGAATGTGAAGCCCTTTGAAGTTTGTTCTGCTTGCTGCTTTGCCTAAAAATTAATCCTGTTACAAAACAGGTAGATTAAATATGAATAAACAGGTAAGAGTGCAAATAAAAAAAAACGATTCTATTGAAATATTTTGGTGTACACAGAGCAGTGAAAGGTGAAAGGGGATAATGGTAGAAGGGGAAACATGTGGCCAAAGAAGGGTTGGTATCTGTTTTTTAGATAAAATAAACTCGGCGTGTTTGTGTGCTGTTGGAGATGATTCAGTGGAGCAGGGAAAACGGTGCAGCAGAGAGGACAATCAATTGCTGGAGTGATATCCTGGAGGAGGTGAGAGTAATGGCCTCTGTTGTACAAGTGGAGAGATTGACATTAAATAAGAGTAACACAGAATATGCAGAGGAACAAGAGGGAAGTAAGAGGATGTGCAAAGATGCACGTATGTAGGTGGGTATCTTTCTTGGTAGAAACATGTGGAAATCCTCTTCTGATTGCTTCTTGGTTCTCCTTGAAAGAGGAAGGTAAGCTCATTCGCTGAGAGTGAGAATGGAGAGAGGGGTAGTGAGATTTGAGTAGAGAGTGGAAAGTGTGAAAGAATTACCTAAACAGATGTATCCATGGTTATCACTTGTGCATTTATTTCTTTTATAATGTTAAACAATAATAAATTTATTTTAAAAACTCCTTTAATATTACCCCATTGCCTTCAGGATAAATACAAATTCATCAGAATCATATTAAAGACTATTCTTCGTCTTCTTCATAAACTTTTATCTCATCTCCTATCACATTCTCGTTACAATCTATGTTCCACCCTTATCAGTTACTTAAGAGTTCTCCTCAAGAGGCATTATGTTTAATACTCCCTGTGGCAGACTATTTGCCAAAGATGACTGCAAGAATCCACCCCATTCCACATGTTCTTCTGCAATGTGACCTTGACAAGTAGATTTTCTCCATTCCCTGAAATCTGTGACTGGTTTTTTTGTGTGTGTTTGTTTGTTTGTTTTGCGGTACACGGGCCTCTCACTGTTGTGGCCCCTCCTGTTGTGGAGCACAGGCTCCGGACGCACAGGCTCCGGACGCACAGGCCCAGCGGCCATGGCTCATGGGCCCAGCCGCTCCGCGGCACATGGGATCTTCCTGGACCAGGGCACGAACCCATGTCCCCTGCATCAGCAGGTGGACTCTCAACCACTGCGCCACCAGGGAAGCCCATCTGTGACTGTTTTGACCAATAGAATATAATGGAAATGACGCTGCCAGTTCTGGGAGCAGCCCTTAACTGGACTGGCAGTTTCTGTCACAGTGCCTTTTGGAATGCTTGCTCTTGGGATACAGCCTCTTGGAACGCAGGCACCATGCTGTGAGAAGCAAAAGCTACAAAGCCATGTGTAGGTACTTCTGATGGGTGGTCCCAGCTGGGCTCCCAGCCAATACCCAGGATGAGTTACCAGCCATGTGGGTGAGTCATCTTGAAATGTCCAGCCCAGCTGAACCTTCAGATGACTGAGTGCCAGACTACATCTGACTGCAATCACATGAGAGACCCCAATTAAGAACTTGCCAGATGAACCCAGTCAATCCACAGACTTGTGAGAGACAAATGTTATTTAGAACCCTAAACGATAGGCTGGTTGGCTATGCAGCAGTAGATAGCCAGAACTACTGAGTGCCGATGTGGGGAGACAGCAGTTGTCATGGTAGTAGTGGTGGTGGGAGACAGGTGATTTAGGCTAAAATCATGGCTCTGCCACCCCCTGGCTCTGTGATCTTAGCAAGTTACTTAAATTCCTGAACTTCATTTTTCCATAAATGGGAATAATAATAACCACCTCACCTGACACAGTTCCTGGAGTTAGTTGATTCTGAAGAAGGGATAAAGGTTTCTGCCCTTCACCTTAGGTTTTAGCTTGGCCCACTGCGGAAAAACTTTCTCGCCTGCCATTTTACCTTATCTCTTTATACCCATATTCCAACTCCTCCCCATGAGAACAGCTGTTGATAATACGACTTGCTGGGCTTACATTTTACTTGTGGGCATAGTTACTGCATTGTGTGTGTATCTGAGCATGACGTGTTTTGTCTGTAGTTAGATGGATGAGGAAATTCCAGCCAGCCTTGCCACTGCAACTACTTGGTAAGTGTACTCACAGTCTGCCTCCACAGAGCCAGTTTATTAAGGATACAGACATGGAGACGTAGGAAGCTACTTCAGCCTTGGGACAAAGCAGTGTTCTCTAAGCAAGCTTTAACATAGCTTTGGGTATTATGAAAAGTACCATTATATTTGTCATATGGTTACTAATCCATTTTGTTCATGGCTTCCCCAATAGAAGAAAAGTATGAATGGGTTTAAGAAGCAAAGCCCACCCCCATAACCCTAATAAACTCCTACTGTTCTTTAGTAGTCAGTTCAACACTGCCTCCTCTGCCCTCATGCAAGGTGTGTTGGGTTCCCCTTACCTGAGTTGCCATTTCTCCTCATGCAGAACTTATATTACTTCTGCTCATATTTTAGTTTGACACTTCCCCCCAATAGTCAGTGAAACTCTTTAGAAAAGGGAAAAGAAAGGTCTTCCATTCAAAATGTTGACATATGGCAGGATCTCAATCAATATTTGTGTAATAAATTAACATCTTACAGACATTATAAATTTTAAGGATATATGGGTATGTTCCTGTGTGTAGGTGTGTGTGATGAGAGTGTGTGTGCAACACTCGCCTGCCCCTCCCCCATTCTTTCAACACAAACAAATAGCCAAAACCTAGATAAGGATTTTAAGGTTATATCCCAAATCTAGCAGTTAAGATATAAAGGTTACTACTTGAGTTATATAGAAAACGTGTGATATTTTATTACTAAGGAAATAATGTATTTATCTCACGTAACAAAGGTTCTGCTAATTGAAGAATGAACATTCTGAACTCATAAGTAGACAAATAATTATAAAGTAACAGATTTGACACTCTGAAATATGTTTTTAAAGCCTCTATATTAAATTATTATTAATGCTGCCAAAAAGCAATATAGAAATCTTGACACTATTATTCCAAATATGTAATTTAATGTACTATAGGTATCTTGGTAAAATGAACAATAGCTATACAGGAGTCATAAATAAAAATATTTACTTATATACCTTCATTGTCAGTATTGAGTTTGGCTTCCAGTTCCGCTATCTTGTGTCTTATTTCAAGCACTGAGAGTTGCACTGTATCCCTATTATTAAACACATTTTGTTAATTATGATTCAATTAAAAATAACATGAGAAAAATAATACACAGTAACCTACCACTACTTCAGGAACAACCTATTATGAAACATCACTTATTGAAGGCCTGGTTGAGAATTAGTAATCAGGCGAACGCAGGCTTCCGATTACCCGGGTCTAGAAGGACATTAAAATGCACTAAAGCTCAAAGCTCCCCATGTAACCACTTAAAACCCTTTATTCTTAAAGTTGGCCTTAAGAAGTCTGACAATTTTGGTTACCTGGTTTCTCAAAGCCCAGCAAAGGAGCTGCAAATTACTATAGACGGGAACAGCTAGGGCAACAGGTAACAATTGACAATCTGAAATAAAAAGGAAAAAAAAAGAAACACTAATAAAAAAAAATACACACACACACACACACATAGCATTCCAGAGATTATCTATTTAGGACATCAGCAAGTGGCATAGTAGTTATCAAAATACGATGACAGAATCATTTATATTTCTGAATGCCTATTATGTTAAAGGCATTGTGCTAAGTGCTGAAGATACTACCGTAAGTGAACAGAACAGTAATTGCAGCAGCTAACTTCCACTGAATGTTTATTACAAGCCAACACTAAGTGCTTTACATACATTTCAGTCCTGGTACCAACCACATGATGTGTGAGATACCGATTTCTACGCCAGTCTTAGACTTGAGAAAACTGAGGCTTCAGAGGTTCATTAACTTGTGCAAGATCATGTACTTGCTGAGTAAGTGATAAGAGCTGGGATTTGAATTTGTGCAGGATTCCTCTAAAGGACTGGCTCCTACACTCTACTGCTTCAGGAAATACAGAACCTGTCCTCAGAATGCTTACAGCTTAGTACCAGACCAAGAAATAACTGAGCAATTTAAAAAGCGTGGTTGGAGTTACGACAGAGGAAAGCACAGGAAGCTACAGGGTGACCCAAGAGAGCCTAGCCCTCCTGTGGCCTGCGGGTGGGGGTGGGGGTAGGGTATCTAAAAAGATACTTAAAATGTTCCAAAGACTTAGTAAGAAGTACTGATATTGAGTACTTTAAGAAGTATATATAGTAGGGGCTTCATTTTTACCAAGTATCACCAATTCTTAAGCTCTTCTAAAGGTATGAAAAAGAAGCATAACTAAACGAAACCTTTGGAATTTGAAACAGAAACCCTGAACTTAGTGGAACATCACAAGCAAACACATGTTTCAGAATTATAGTCTGTGCACACAGTACACTCCACCGGACTCGCTCCTGAAGGCAGAACCTCAAAACCTGCCTATTTATAATACCAAACGCAAGAGCTAAATGAATCTCTCCTATAAAGCACTGTTTTCAGATGTCACCAGTTCTACCCGGGGATTAATGACACTGCAGGTGTCACCTCGGCCTCAGGGGCTTCGGCCTTGAGCCGCGGGGCTCACACAGGCGCAGGCCCTCGGCTTGGCGGCGCCGACGTGAACCCCACACCCGGCGGGGCGCGCGCCGCCCTCCGACTCACTTCAGGTGCCTTTCTTCCAGTAACTCCAGTTTAAGGCGGTCGGTGTTCATACCGTCGAAGGTGTCGCCTCTTCCTTCCTCCACCGTGTCAGATCAGAGGCCACCCACGCCCTTCCCTCACACGGCTTAGAACACGAGACCTGACGGGACCCCCTGCAGCCGGGAGTGGTCAGGTTCTGTCAGCCGTAGTGGGGACAAACTGCCTCACGGTCGCTGCCTGGCGCCGTGCGGTGACGGCACAGGGCGGCGCCCGGGGGCGGGGCCAGGCTGGGACGCCCAGGGCCGCTCACACAGAAAGAGGGCTCTGTGCTGGGAAGTTTGGAATTGAACTAACTAGAAAGTAATGTAGTATCACGTTAGACCGACAGACTAATGTCCAAAAGAACCACCCAAATTTGTGGGCAAGAGATGATGTGAGGCATTTTGAGGAATAAGTTCAATTAATAGCAATCGAGGGTTTATTTTATACAGAGTGATATGTAACATATGCTAAGTACGTTCACTGCTTTCAAAGAACCTACGGTTTAACTGAAAAGTGATCTCTTGCCAGTGTGTCAGTAGTAACGTGGTGTGGCAAATCTTGTACTCCCAACTTTTGTGCCCAGCCTGAGGCAAGCTGTGGGGAGCAAGATGCTGGTCACCTCTTAGACACTCACCGGTGTCTATTCTGTCTTGGTGGCTCCCTTCCTTCGTCCTCAGCGCGCGTTCCTAATTCTCTGATTGACTGGGGAGGTGGGGATGAGAGGGACCCGCATGGCAGAGAGACAGTCATGCATTTTATATTCTCCCAAATCTTTCTGGTTCACACCTAAACCATAGCTTTTGAAATATCAAAAGCTAAGAACTGATGGTTTTGTTCTCTAGTTTCTCTGTAGAATCCCTGCTCCTTTAGGTCAGGAGGGTCAGGAATCCTCTCCACCTCTAATGCTGCTTCCAGGATCTCTACTCTTCCGTCCTCCTGTAAAAACTCACTCCTTATTTCATCTGGGTGTGACACCATATACTTCTCCTTGCTTCACCCAGAGACTTAATAGTCACAACCTGTCTACTGACTTGGACAAAAAAAGTAGTTTTTCCACCATAGGTCTTGTCTACAACCTCGCCCTTCAATATGCAACTCTCATCACTTTAACTCCACTCCACATCCACAGCTATATGCTGAACCCTGTCATCAGTGTGGCTTTAGTTCAAAAGCCTTAAATTTAAAAACTGCTGTATACCAAAGCCCCTTTTTCTGCTCCCAGCTCAGTTACTCCCTAAATAGCAACGTTTTAACTAGAGACATTATCTGTGGGGCTTCTTGAACATGCAAATGCTGGGATCCTATCCCTTATCTCAGTAATCTTGCTTCTTGGTAGCACTCTAGCAAGTTGCTTTTCAGCTGGCTAACTAAATTTGAACAGAACAGATTGGGTGGGATGCCGGGGGAGAGAGAACACTTTCCCCCACCCACTAGTCATTTTTTCCTCCAATGAATAGCCTCCAGGTTGATCAAACTGTTTCTTCACATATGACAACTTTTTGCATAGAATACATTTAAAGACATTATTTCGGGTTCCTATCTTTCATCTGACCTGTGTTCTTAAAAAAATTTTTTTTATTCATCTTTCTGGATCTTTAAAATATACTGTAAATAGAAAAAATGTCTTTGAAGAAAAGCTATTCAGAAATCAACAAAATATTCTCTTTTAAGCAATTCTGTTGCTAAAGTAAACACAAAATAGCAAAATCCATTAGGAAGTCTGTTTAAAAATACCTAGTCTTAATTCTGGCAAGAACAGACCAGAGAACTAATTTATTTGAGCACAGCATTATAGACTTAACTGATACGTCTGGCTTTTCTTAGCTTACCCTAGAATACCTATGAAGACAGAGAAAAAGACTCACACTATCAGGTAGGTAGTGATGATCTATTTTGCTAATCTAGGGCTGATGATCTATTTTGCTAATATCTCAAGAAATTTTCTACCAATTATTAAGCCAATAGAATTATAACAAAAAATTAATCTGTTAAGCAGCTGGAAGCAGAGGAAATAAGACCATTTGTCTTTCCCCATCTACCTCTGTTTAAGAAAGACAAGATGCCCGGCCTAACAGGCCCTCCTTTTTGAAGCATGTGTGTGACCTCTTCTTTCATACTGTTCCCTTACATCTTGGGAAGGTTACTTCACCTCTCTATACCTCAGTGTCCTATTCTGTAAAATGAAGACTGTAATGATATAACCTCATAAGAATATTGTGAGGTTAAAATGAGTTAGTCTGTGTAACAGTACTTAGAACATTTTAACACTACCTAAACATTAGCTATCATTATTTTTATACCTAGTAGGTTCCTAGAGGCAATGCCAGAAAACTACCCAGTACAGCATGGGGGAATGACAGTCTGTAGAGGCAAAGTGAGGAAAAACCCTGGTAGCAGTAGATACTGAGAACTGTTTGTCAGACACTAGACCTGTTGCATCTCAAAAAGCCAAGAAAACCTAGGAGAAAGACCTCTAGAAAATAAAAACCAGGCTAAGAAGCTGTGATGGTTAATTTTATTGTCAGCTTAACTGGGCAACGGGGTGTCCAGACATTTGGCCAAATATCATTCGGGGTGTGTCTGTGAGGGTGTTTCTGGGTGAGATTAACATTTCAATCGGTAGACTGGGTAAAGTAGATTGCCCTCCTTAAAAGATGGGTGGACATCACCCAATCAGCTGAAGACCTGAATAGAACAAAAGGGCTGAATAAGAGGCAACTCTTCCCGTTTGACTGCTTTCATTGGTATATTGGTCTTTTCTGGCCTTCAGACTCAGGCTGAAACATAAGCACTTTGGGGCCTCAGGCCTGCCTACCAGCTTTCAGACTGGAATAGACATCATTGGTGCTCCTGATTCTCAGGCTTTCAGACCTGGACTGATACAGCACATCAACTCTCCTGGGTACCCAGCTCACTGACTGCAGATCTGCGGCTTCGCAGCCTCCATAGTTGCACGAGCCAATTCCTTATAATACATATTGGTTCTGTTTCTCTGGAGAACTGGAATATAGAAGCTATACTTACCAAAATTTTGTCTAGCTGTTGATCTGAAAAAGCAACCCACAAACAAGTGAACAGAGTAGAATGAAGTGAAATGGACAACTAGGTTCCCGTTGACAAGTCCAATTTTGCTGACCTCTGCTCTAAGGTAATTTTTTAAACTTTAGGCTCCACTATGTGTCATTCCGTTTCTTAAATTTAAATAAGGCAGAGACCGACTGGAAGCTATTTACCAATTCAATTTTATTTCCATTTTAACTAGTACATTATCCTTGGCCCTAGGGAAAGGCTCCACCAATTCTGTGTCCCTGAAATACAAACCCATGAATACATTTGAGGCCAAGTAAATCAGTTTATTCACAAAGTGCATTCTTTATATAGTTTCAAATAAAGCCTAATAAACTAAATAGCAGTTGGAGTTTCAGAAATATTAAAATGGACTATACTAAGAAAACCAATACCAATCTTTTAAAATCATTAAATAAAAATAAAATGCCACTAGCTATTTTACTTACATATTTGTAGCTTATAGGTCTGTGAATATCCTCTCTTCTGCCAAAGTGGACACTGTTATGCCTAGCCACCATGGATTAAAGCCTAAAGTCTTCACATTCTTTACCTTAATTATGTGTAAAACCTTTCTAATAATTTAATTTATTGGCTTTTTAATATATAAAATTCCAATGACTGAATCCCAAAATAAAAATTATTTATCATACATAAACTCAACTGTTTATATTTTAGTTTTTACTAAATGTCAGCCTTTTGGCAAAACTTACAGAAGTAGACACGGTAAAGTGATTACATTTTTGTCCAATTAAGCTGATAATAATCACTTTGAATTTTGATACAATACCAACCATACCCCCAAATTTCCCAGGCTCCTAACAGATCAATAACAGGCTAAATCTAGAAGACTTAAAAATCTATTTGTATTCATTTAAAATCAAAAAGACGATTCCATTTCCTAACAAAGAGATAAGCTACCAAATGATTTTATAGAACCTCATTTTATTTTTCATGATTAGTCTACTCCTTGTTTTGAAAAAGTCTTTTAAATGTTATATAAGAATTCTTTTCATTTAGGGTTACAGTTTTTGTTTAGCTTACACACTGAAAATTCTCACAAGCACCTAAAAAAAAATCCACAATTAGTGCAAAAAGAGGAAACAATGTTTAAAGCATTCATTCCCAGTACAAACATAACTAAGGTTACTAAATGCCAAATTTTAGGTAAATATATAATTTCCTACTTTGCTTTCTGAAAGACAGCAAATACAAAAATAGTTTAACGTTAGGTTTAATGAGATTTATAGCACATCTATTATTAGTCTTATTTTAACTGCAAAAATATTTTAGCCACATTTAGAAAAAAATCAACTCACAGAGAATGTAACTGTATTTCTAAAGGCCAGATGCAAGAATACTGATTCTTTTCCTTAGAAGTAGAATACATGACATAAAGCTTATGAAATAGTCACTTTGTAGGAATGAATACATTTTAAAAATCCTGGTTAATCTGTAGGGAATTCCACATTTGCCATTTAACAAAATTGCATCCATCTGTAAGGCTTTGGTATAGACAATTCATAGCACTTCCATCATTTATCTTTCTTCTTTGCCCCATCCTTCTCTAGTGCCTCTCTCTGTTCATCTTTCGCCTCTTTCATGTTTACACTTGCTCCTCCTCCTTGATTTTCCCCCTTAGAATTATCAACAATTTTATAGTCCTCAAGCAGCGTGTGTCCCGTTTGTTTTGCAGTTTTCTTCACCATTGCTTTGATGCCAACGTTGTCAATATTATAGGCAGTTACACCAACATTGATGGCAGAATCTACTGCATTGTGTGTAGCTTCTCCTGCGGTATGCCCGTATCTTTAAAAGAAAGATTAGAGAAAATACAATGAAATTACAAATATAAATTAAGATCTTCTGAATTAGTATTAAATAGGTCACATGATTAGCATGTTATCCGAAAGCAAAATCAGAAGTTAGGTTTCAATTTAATTAATAACTTAAAACACAGTAAAGAATAAAATCACACTGTGCCAAGGCTGTTATTTTCTCCTTTAGCAAAAACACTGTGAAAATAAACTGAAGCTGAGATTAATGTAATAAAGACTGTTTATGCTGAAGAATAAAATGTAAATTATAATAAAGGTTGTTAATCAGTCAATATTTCCTTTTTTATCTTCTTCTGGAAATATAAGAGAATTCTAACTGAAACAACTATAGGTCACTATAAATGGTTTTGAGTTCTACCTTAACTAGACTTTGGTTAAGTCTTTCAAACTACTGGAATCTGAGTTTGTCTCTAAGCAGAGATTCTACAACACTCTTCCTCACTCCACTCCACCCCACTGCAGACTCACTGGCCTTCCTGCTGTTCTTTGAACCCACCAAGCACACACGCGCTGCCCTATGACTTTCGTACTGGCTGGTATCTGCCTAGACTACTCTCACCCCAGGTATGCATGTGGCTAACTGCCTCACCTTCTTCAAGTCAGCTATTATCCTCTCAGTATTTAACCTATTTTAATTGCCTTATCTCACATGTCCTACCCCACTGCCAATCAATCCCCCCCTTAAACTTCTCTTTCTTCTATAACTTAGTCTGCTACATACTATAGAACTTTTTTACACCCATTGTTTTTGTTTTGCTTATTGTTCGTCTCACTAGAATATTTTTTGTTTGGCTTGTTTGTCTCACTAGAATATAAACCCCATTAGAGAAAGATCTCTTTACTTTGTTTATTAATGTATCTTAAGTACTTAGAACAGTGCCTGACATCTAATATTTGTTGAATGAATTAAATGAGGAAGTCCTGCCCTATCCATCTAAGAGTTTCTTGAGTTCATATGTATAGCAAAGGGCTTGGGAAATTACAAAGCATTACACAAAAGTAGCTATTCCTGACCATAATCAATACCGCTGATGGTGTTTAATACCATTTTCATAAGAAAATAATACAACTTGA